AAATATACAACCAAGAGAAGGCACTGAACTGACATATCGGTTGGTTGCCACAGATGAGGTGAGTTCATGCCTTAGAGGTACTGACTCAGAGACTAAAGGAAGATGCAGTGGCTAAATTGCAACCACATGGTGGGATGCTACATGAGGACCTGCATCCAGATCTTATGCCCCCACAGAGAAGCTGGAAACACCAACAGACATTTCTGTAACTCTTGCAGTAGGAGCTGGGAGGAAGGAAGGACAAAGGCAAGCAGGTCCCATGGGGCTCACCAGCCAGTTACACTAGCCAAAATAATAAGGTCTAGGTTCAGTGGCAGATCCTGTTGCAAAAATAAATGAAGTAGAAAAAGTGTCTGATTAAGGAAAACATCCCAACATCAGCCTCTGATGCCACATACACCTGTATACTTGCACATGTATGTACACACACACACACACACACACACACACACACACACACAGAGAGCGAGAGAGAGAGAGAGAGAGAGAGAGAGAGAGAGAGAGAGAGAGACTGGCTTAATCTAATGATCACATCTTCAAGCCCTGGCACCTTAGTTGCTGAGACAGGAGGAGTCCTCCAAGACAGAGGCCAGTCTGGGCTACATAGTAAGTTCAAGTCTGGCCTGTGAGACAAAGTGAGGCTGTCTCGAACAAACAAGCCAAACAAACAAATAAACTCACTGTCATTTCCGCTGTCTCACCTGAGGTCTGAGGCCAAGCCTCTGCATGAGTGAGACACATTACAGAGCAGAGAGAAAAGAAGTCTCCTACGTTTTGCTTTCTGAAACACAAGCTTCCAGAGGAATGAGGATGATAAGACCTATGAGTGAAAACTCATGAAGGACAAAAGATATTTATTTCTGCATCCCTCTGGAAAACACCCACCAATCCTTAGAGAAGGGAGCAGAAATTGGTTGGGTCTGTGCTTAGAATCTTTCCTTGTTTAGAATCTCAGGGAAGGGCATCTGGAGAGATAGCTCAGCAGTTCACAACACTTAATGTTCCTGTAGCATGTTAGAGTGCAGGTTACTGCACCCATATTAGGCAGCTTACAGTTGCCTAAAACTCCAATTTCAGGGATTCCATGTCATCTTCTAGGCTCTGCAGGCACTAAACAAATGTGGTGCATATACATACACTCAGGCACACACACACACACTGTCCTTAGGTAGGTTTCTATTGCTGTGATAAAATGTAGCTTGGAGGAGTTGGCCAAGGGCTTAGAGTTTACAGTCCTTCATGAAAGGAAATCAGGGCAGGAACTTAAGGCAGGAGCCTAGAGACAGGAACTGAAGCTGACAGAGGAGGAGTGCTGCTTTCTGGCTTGCTCCCCCAGCACACTCAGCCTACTTTCTTATACCCAAGAACACCTGCCCAGGGAAGGCACCACCCACAGTGGATCAGGGCCCTCCCACAACAATCCTTAATCAAGAAAATGCCCCCACAGACAGGCCAATCTGATAGAGGCAATGCCCCAGTTAAGGTTCCCTTTTCCTAGAAAAAAGCTGGCTAGTGTCAAGTTGACACACACAGAAATGAACCAACACACCACATACACACAAAATCAAACAAATGAATCATTGAAGCAGAATAGAAATAATTTCCTGTGAAGGGAACATACCTGACCTGGGCCGGGCAAGGCTGCTACTGGGTCTGGCATGGTGGAACTCAGTGATTCTGCAGGAGATAAGCCCTGGGAAGCACTTAGCAAAACTCCTGGTACAAAAAGTGCTTAAAAATCAGCAGTTCTTTCTTTTTTATCAGATGGGTGAAGTGTTAGGAGATTTGACAATGGCCAGTTCCCCTGGTGGGAAAATGCACAGCAAAGGGGCCAGCACAGTACCTGCTCCCTCTTTGTATCCTTTCTCATGCCTACCATGGTGACACAATGGCAAGTGACAGTCAACTGTTAACTTGGCTGGGCTATAGTACCAGATGGGTCCTTCTGCATTGATTTCAGCTCTGTGTGTGTGTGTGTGTGTGTGTGTGTGTGTGTGTGTGTGTTAGGTAAAGCATGTGGCCCTCTGTTGTGTGAATGAGGTTCTTCCCACCTGATGGTAAATTAGGGAAAAAAAAAAAGACTCCTTTCCCGTAGAGAAAGAAAGACTCCTGCCACACATGGCTTTAGGGCTGAACTCCCATGATTCCTTGGCCTCTAGCCTGGCAGCCTACTCTGCAGGTTTTGAGTTTACCAGCCTACACGTCAGGTTGTGGACTTACTAGTTCCGTGTTAATGAGAGCCAGTTACTATTTTTCTCTTGATAGCATGGCAATTCCACAGAAACAGAATCTGCATGAAGCTTTGGTATGTGGATTTGAAAGGTGCACATTCATTCTGTATGTGGGGGATACAGAGGACATTAGCATGGAAAATGAGGGGTATTAGGACCCATCATCTTGGTCAGAGTACCCCCAACCACATTCTGCACAGTGCTTGAGGTAGCCACTTAACTCTGGGATCCTATCCCTTTCTGGGCATTCTGCCCAGGCACAGAGCACAGGTCCCCTCATCTTTGACTATTTTCTGCTGTCCCTAAGTTCTATCTGTCCCAGGTCTTTAAAGAAAGGACAGCAAATCCTTTCTTCCTCCAGGCTGAGACTTTCAGAGCAGAAGCAAAGAAGACTCTGGGCTTTGCTTGCCTTCAGCTCCATCTAACTCCTCCCCCAAGACATCAAAGTAGGAAGGAACCCAAAGTAGATGTATCAGTTACTCTTCTATTTCTGTGATAAAATACCATGATGGAGGTAACTTAGAGAAGGAAGGGTTTATTTGGGCTCATGGCTCCAGGGGGATAGGAAACCATCATGGCAGGGAACAGCAGGAACAGCACATTTCATGCAGAAAGCTGGAAACCAAGACAGACAACTGGAAATTGTACATGGCTTTTGAAACCTCTAAGCCAGCTCCCAGTGACATACTTCTTCCAGAAGGCTGAACCTCCTAAACTGCCCACACTTGGGACAAAATTATTCAATTGCCCAAGACTATGGGAAATATCTCATTCAAATCACCACAGAGGATGAAATTTATCTTCAAGCTGCACACCTCATGTTCTGGGAGATGCATTAAAGTAGGTTGTTCGGTGGAGACAGATGGATAGACACTGGTCCTTTTTAGCATTTTGGCTCTAATTTTAGGGGCAGGGTGTATCTTTCACTGGCTCTTATTCTAGGGACAAAGTGTGTTTCTTTGGCACTAGTTTCAGGGTCAGGGTGCATTTCTTTGGCTCTGGTTACAGGGCCAAAGTGTGTTTCTTTGGCTGTGCTCAGGGTGAGTTTCTTTGGCTGGTCCTTTTTTTCCCTACACAGAGTGCTCCACTTTTTTGTCTAGGGATTTAGTATGAAAAGATTCCCCTGCATGAATTTTTATTGTACTTCTAACATTTAATAAAGAAAGAATTCTACCAGATGTGTACACCTTTAATCCCAGCACTCAGGAGGCAGAGGTTAGTGAATCTCTGTGAATTCAAGGCCAGTCTGATCTAAGACAGCCAGGGCGACATAGAGAGACCCTGTCTCAAAAACTAAAAGTGGATTTGTGATAATTTATTTTTAATATTTGTGGGAGTGGTGGTGTCAAGAAAAAATGTAAAATGGAATAGCACTGGCTTAGGGACTTTAAAATGGAGTGCTCAGTGTTTTTGAGCTCTAAGCCATCTATCTTGTCCCAGCATTAAAAAAACAAAACAACAAAACCAAGCTTACATGCGTGCGTGTTTGTGTGTGTGTGTGTGTGTGCTCGCCTGAGTTGGGAAGGGGTCGCATGTAGCTCCAGTTTCACCTGCAACTCACTATTGTGATTGTCTGGCTTTGGCTTAAGAGCCACCCGAAACCACTTCCTGCATAGTTGTTTAAGTTTTTCGCAGGCTGCAACACTTCGTCTGTTTATTTTTCTACTATTTATTCAGTGTCTCTCTTTAGTGTCACTCAAAGCGCTGGCTATGTTATTGGGTGATAAAATTCTAAGTATCTCCTAAAGCTAAGCACTGTTAACTATTATTTTTTTGAGGGAATTCAAGGCAGAGAGGATCGGCTCATTCAGCCAATAAAACTATAAAACCAATAAGACTACAACGTTTATTCTCTTAACCTCTATTATTGCTTTCCTCGCCCCCAAAGAATATCATCTGA